AATGTGACTTTTATTTGAGACAGAAAAGTATAAATTACCTCAAATATCAGCGGAGCCGTTGCATACATTAGTCTAGTGGTGGATGGGTTTGTCTCGGTTGTAATATATTTATTAAAAATATATACTATTCATGTGGACACTCTTTAAATTATTAATATCATAAATTATAAAATGATTAGAATTATAAAAGAGAGCATAATACAAATGGAAAAACAAGCTAACACAAAGGGAATTGATTTTGCCTTCAAACCAGGCGATCTTGTTTTCCTAAAGTTACACTCTTACACACAATAAACGATTAACAACTTTAGAAATGAGCCGATTTAGTTAATTTATACACAACCACCCAAATTGAATCATTCCCCTTTGCAGTCTCCGAAAATCCCGACACAAAATCCATGGAGATACTATCCCATTTCCATTTCGGAATATTCAATAGTTGCATCATACCCAGAGGCTTTTGATGTTCAATCTTTGACTTCTGACAAGTCAAATAGGCATAAACAATTCAGCAATATCCCTCTTCATACATGGCCATCAAAATAACTTCAGCAAATCCTGATACATCTTCGTGGCACCGGGATGAATACCATCCTACTTCGATGTCCCTCTTCAAGATTACTCTTCTTAATTTCTATAACATCTGGAACAAACACTCTAACACTGAACCTCATCACATCGTCCTCTTCATTCTGGAATTCACTTCTGTTACCTTGGTTAATCAAGGCCAATTGATCAAACAATCTCAAATCAGATTTCTGACCTTCCTTGATTTCTTTGAGAATGCCACTCGTCAATTTAAACATTCTCAACTTCACACTGTCAGGAGTCTTCTCGCATACTAAACTCGTGTCTCTGAATTGTTCGATCAATTATAATTCTCTCACCATAAGCATCAACATATGCAATGACTTTCTACTCAACGCATCAGCCACTACATTTGCTTTGCCAGGGTGGCAACTCAAGTCAAAGCCATAGTCCTTCAACAATTCCAGCCACCTACTCTGCCTCATATTCAACTCTTTCAGATCGAATAAGTACTTTAAACTCTTATGATCACTAAACACCTCGAATTTATAGCCAAAAAGGTAATGTCTCATAATTTGTAACATGAACACTGCAGTTGCCAATTTTAAATCATTCGTAGGATAATTCCCTTCATGAACACTCAATTTTCTAGAAGCATAGGCAACAACCTGACCATTTTGCATCAACATTCCACCAAGACCCATCTTTGACGTGTTACAATGTACCATAAAATATTCACTCGGATTAGGAAAGATCAATATCGGAGCGGTCGTCAACTTCTTCTTCAATTCCACAAAGATCTCTTCACATGCAACATCCCACACATAAACTTGACCCTTCAGAGTCAACTGAGTCAAAGGTAATACTAACTTTGAAAAACCATTGATAAACTTGCGATAATAACTTGCCAACCCAAGAAAACTTCGTATTTTTGTAGCAGACTTCGGAGTCTCCCACTATAACACAACATTAATCTTAGAAGGATGGACAACAATTCTACCACTTGATATCACATGGCCAAGGAAACTCACTTCCTTCAATCAGAACTCACATTTTGATCGTTTTGCATGTAATTTCTTCTCTCTCAACACTTGCAACACCGTATGCAAATGCACATCATGCTCTTCTTTAGATTTTGAGTATATCAGAATATCATCAATGAAAACCACAACAAACTTATCCAAATACTAATGAAAAATCATATTCATATACTCCATGAACACACCTGGTGCATTGGATACACCATACGACATCACAATGTATTCATAGTGATCGTACCTCATCCTAAAAGCTCTCTTCAGAATATCATTTGGCTTAACACGAATTTGATGATAACCAGACCTCATATCAATCTTACTAAACACACAAGCGTCCACTAGTTGATTCATCAAATCATCGATTCTTGGAAGTGGATACTTATTCTTGATAGTCACTTTATTCAACTGCCGGTAATCAAAACACAATCTCATACTACCGTCTTTCTTCTTAACTAACAACACAGGAGCACCCCACAGAGAAACACTCGGTCGAAGAAACTTTTTCTCAAGCAATTCTTCCAATTGTTTATTCAATTCACTTAACTCATAAACTGACATCCTGTAAGGAGCCATTGACACCGGACTCGTACTTGGTATCAATTCTTCTGCAATCTCGACTTCACGCTCTAAGGGTAAATCGCTTACGTCGTTTAGGAGTTCACAGACAACAGGTAATTCAACATTTGTAATTACACGGTCAACTTGCAATGATGAAAACATTACAATTATTAAGGTTTCGTCTTCTAAAAGTTCATCCACTTGCTTAGCAGACAAAAACATCAGTTCTCCATTATCACCAAACTTAAGAAATCATATAGTCTTATTATAACAGTTGATATGAACATAGTTGAACTCCAACCAGTTCATTCTAAGGATAACATCAATTTGGTGCAAGGATAAACACACCAAATCCATCACGAAACTCTTCCCAAAAATAGTTAAGGGACAACCCAAACACACAAAGGTCGTAGTAACAGAACCATTAGCAAGAGTTTCTATCACCATACTACCATTCATATCAGAAAATTTCAAACCCAACATGGTAGCAGATTCAAGCGAAACAAACGAATGAGTAGCACCAATATCAATAATAGCAACCAACTTCGTATTGTTAATAAAACAAGTACCTCAAATGAAGTTATATTTCTTAAAGACTTTTGAACCGCTCAAAGCAAACACTCTACCATTAGTCTGAGCAGCACTAGCAGTCTTATTCGGCTTCTGGCATTGGGTACTAATGTGACCCTGTCCACCGCAGTTGAAACAAGTCGGCCCCTCATTCTTGCAATCGGTGACTCGATGATCGCTCTTACCGCATCTGTAACATCTTAACACATTATTGTTGCAACCATCTGCACGGTGACCTTGCTCACCACACTTGTATCACTTAACAGAAGTGGGAGCTGCTCCCCCATTGTCTTCTTCCCATCTGAATCCTTCTGCTTTCCTTTATCATCTGGAGTTACATAAGGGTTTATTTGTGTTGATAGATTGCTACCATTGTTTATTGACATTTTTTATTTGATGAAGATATTTATACAAACACTTAACAATAATAAAAAGAATCACCTCTAACAGACGTACGTCTTCGTCGCGCTTCCGTTATTGTCACTTATAAACAACCCGACCCGACCCAATGTAGTTGTATAGAAGCTAAATGTTTATTGAATTTCACTTTACTGAATCATTCCATTAATTTTAATTAGTAAATGTATATTTTATAAATAATATTAATTGACTCCATTAATGGATTTGAATAGAACTTAAATGTGACTTTTTATTTGAGACAGAAAAGTATAAATTACCTCAAATATCAGCGGAGCCATTGCATACATTAGTCTAGTGGTGTGGGTTTGTCTCTGTGGTAATATATTTGTTAAAAATATGTACTATTCATGTTGACACTCTTTAAATTATTAATATCATAAATTATAAAATGATTAGAATTATAAAAGAGAGCATAATACAAATGGAAAAACAAGTTAACACAAAGGGAGTTGATTTTGCCTTCAAACCAGGCGATCTTGTTCTCCTAAAGTTACAATCTTACAGACAACAAACGATTAGCAACTTTAGGAAAATAGTTTGTCTTCTGAGATATTTGTTTGCTAATCATTTATTCTGAAACTATTCTCCTAAAGTTGTTGAAATCCTAAAACACAAAAGACTTGCCTCTTTCTGTGATCTCGCATCTCTATTATCTCTCTGTCTTTTTTCTTTCTCATTTTCAATCATTATCAGTTCTCTTTTTATATTATGGCCATTTCACCTCTTCCTATTTCTCCTAGTTATTGATTTTGTCTATTTTACAATTAATAAGCTGTTACTTGAGCTTAATAATTTACTTTCTAGTGAATTTACATTATGCAACAAATGACATCGACTTTTAAGTTTATGAATTATGACATTTTAAGTTTGATTTTTACATATATGTTTCTATTTCATTATATTCTACAACTTTTTTGTATATATATTTTAAATTTAATCTTAGTTATTATGTTCCCACTACGTTGTTTGACGCAGCAACCCTGCTAATAGCACTGAGATTACTAGACAACAATTCATTTGTGTCGTCGAGTGCCCAATAGAACTCTAACCTTTTATCCAGATTTGTAAAGATCAAAATAATTATATAATGAAGAGATATAATTACATGATAAAAACAGAGACCAAAATTATTCCACTTCTTTAAAATAATGACGTAATTATTAAACTTACATTGCAATGGAAAGATGAGACAAAAAACCACTCACATTGCGTAGCGGCTGAACCACCATCAGATGGCTTCAGATGAGCAACATGATCAACTGAGATATGTTTTGCTTCAACAGTCTTCAGCAAAGCAGGAAGAATGAAGGTGGGGCCAAATTCGATTATTTGTTGAATTACAAAGATTTCATATATGAAAAATAAAAAAGGACAGTAGCAATTATAAAATACTAACCTCAATAGTACAGCTAGGCAGAACAAAGATAAATTTTGGAATCCCATATATGACATGCATATCTGAAGTTGTAACACAATATATCTTATAACTTAATCAAAGATAATTAAACATGCATATTTCTCAAAAGCTGACATCGCATGAAGCTGAAAAAACGAAACAAAAAAATAGTAATAAAATAATACTTGTAAAAAAAATTGCCATAGAAAATTTCATTTTGAATATTCATAAAAATATGTTTAATAGAGAAAAGCAAATGACTCACCTCTTGATGTAATAGTAACAAAAATCTGCCAATATGAAAGACTGAACCAACTCGAATACTTGAAGAACAACCATCCAGAAATAGCCAAAATCACAGAAAAGTAGATATCTAACTCTAGTTTCATAAACCTATACAAAATATTACAAACATTATAGTATTATTTTTTCACATTTCTTATAGTTTAAAAAAATATAAAAACAAATTTAACAAATCTCACGTGAATAATCTAATAAGCTAGTGCAAAGAATATTGAAATATCCAGAGCAAAGAAATAATATCCTGTGAATGGTTCAACCATCTGAAAATAAAAACTTGTCAGAATTATTTACAACATTACTTGATGTCTGTTCATCTTAAGCATAATCATTATTATATATTTATAAAAGATAGTAGTACAACAAAGTTCGAAAGATTTTAACCTTTGCATTTTGCATGTAACGAATTTGTGGAAGTACTGAAACAGGTTCGACATAGATAGTGAATGCGAAAACAACTCGAACAAGCCATACATGAGGTGTACGTGGATTCACTAGAACTGCTAAAATTTCAGAAGGCACAACCTATAACATAATCAATAAAATATTGTTTCAATGCAAACTAGAGCATTTTAGATTAACACAAAACTATGAGAAGATGTAACTATGTTTACCAAAAGGGATATCCACATTGTGTCCAACTCTTTCATATAGGTTGATTTGAGTCTGCATCTCATCAACCAAACAACCATTAATGTTAACAAGAAGTATAACAGGTCCATCACAGTGCGATAGTCTGCTTCCATGTAGAAACTACAACCTAGTCTTGTTACTAGGAATAAAGCATTGACCACTTGGAACTTGAGGGATAAACCTAAAAATATAAAATTGTTCTTTAGGTTATAGCATACAATTGATCCATACGATTTTTTTAATATTTTTGGATAGCCATGGTAATCTTTGTATTTGAAATTAGATGTAGTATTACTTGTAACAAAATACTAATAACTCAATTGTTTTAATTAGACTATTAGAGCAATAGTAACTATTTAAGATCATGACACAACTCATAAAATAAACATAAATTATTATATAGTTTAGAAATAGTTTATATCTTTATGGTGGTAATCAACAAAAATTCTTACATACCTTAGATGGTTTGTAAGCATTCATCTTCGTCAGTGGTACAAATTCTTACATCTTATTGAATGTTGGTATAACACCTATTTCCACACGACCATCTAGATGACACCATTCAAAGCACTTTACAGCCAATACCCCCCCCCCCCCCCCCAATATCCTAGATTATTTGGCCGATTTAGTAAAAGAGCATTCACTTGATGAGCCCCTGCAACGAAGATATAATATTATCATCAAGTTGAACGAAAACTTAAAGAAGAGCATAATACAAATGGAAAAACAAGCTAACACAAAGGGAGTTGATTTTGCCTTCAAACTAGGCGATCTTGTTCTTCTAAAGTTGCAGTCTTAAGACAACAAACGATTAGCAACTTTAGGAAAATAATTTGTCTTCTGAGATATTCGTTTGCTAATCATTTGTTCTGAAACTATTCTCCTAAAATTATCGAAATCCTAAAACACAAAAGACTTGCCTTTTTTTTGTGATCTCGCATCTCTATTATCTCTCTGTCCCTTTTCTTTCTCATTTTCAATCACTCTCATTTCTCTTTTTATACTCTGGCCATTTCACATCTTCCTATTTCTCCTAGTTATTGATTTTGTCTATTTTACAATTAATAAGGTGTTACTTGAGCTTAATAATTTACTTTCTAGTGAATTTACATTATGCAACAGATGACATCGACTTTTAAGTTTATGAATTATGATATTTTAAGTTTAATTTTTACATATATGTTTCTATTTCATTATATTCTACAAATTTTTTGTATATACATTTTAAATTTAATCTGAGTTATTATGTTCCCACTATGTTGCTTGACACAACAACTCCGCTAATAGCATTGAGATTGTTAGACAACAATTCATGTGGGTCGTCGAGTGCCCAACAGAACTCTAACCTTTTATCCAGATTTGTAAAGATCAAAATAATTATATAATGAAGAGATATAATTACATGATAAAAACAGAAGCCAAAATTATTCCACTTATCCAAAATAATAACTTAATTATTAAACTCATATTGCAACAGAAAGATGAGACAAGAAAACCACTCACATTGCGTAGCGACTGAACCACCATCAGATGGCTTCAGATGAGCAACATGATTAACTGAGATATGTTCTGCTTCAATAGTCTTCAGCAAAGCAAGAAGAATGGAGGTGGGGCCAAATTCGATTATTTGTTGAATTACAGAGATTTCATATATGAAAAATAAAAAAGGACAATAGTAGTTATAAGATACTAACCTCAATAGTACAACTAGGCAGAACAAAGATAAGTTACAGAATCCCATATATGACATGCAGTTCTGAGCAATAACACATATTTAATCTTCTCAGCACAATAAACAAGTAAAATGACAACCAAAAAATTGAGCAAAATGCATAGAAACAAAACAATATCAGAGTCACACTGCTACATTCTCTATTTTGGATTGTAGAGACTGGATCCCCAATGTTGCTTGTTTATCTCTTTTTGTATTACCTTTGTTAAGGATTTATCCTCCAATATTTTGTACTTACATCTCTTTCTCCAATAAAATTTATTGTTTTACCAAACTAATAGAAGAGAATAGAGTAGAAATATAATTCAAGTATCAAGATTGCATGCTGTCGCAACTGCGAAAAACAACCGGCGGAAAACAGAAGAGTCACCACCTTTCGTTATTTATCCCACAGATAGGGAAAGGAAACGATCGGAAAAACCTGACGAAAAAGGGAAAGACAAGGTCATCGCAACCAAGTCTGGATTCAGGAGTCGGTTACGCAAGGGAAAGGTATTAGCACCCCTCACGTCCGTCGTACTCGACGGGATCCACGCATTGTTGTCTATCTAGAATGGTGATCAAACTATCTAGCTAATGGTCAAGGGAAAAAAATAAAAAGAAAAGAGAAGTGACTCGGCAGAGCATCGCCGCTCTGTGCCTACGTACTCCCTCGTGCAATGGGAAAGTCAGAGTCAACGTAGTTCGACTAACTACGGGAGAAAAGGGGGGAAGGTTGCTCGCCAATACATCGCGTATTATGCCTACGTACTTTCATCTGGTATGAAAGATCAGAGCAAACGTAGTTTAGGCTAAAAGGACCACTGGCTGGTTCAAAAGTTTTTAGGCCCGAGTAGGGTTAACAAGTAGTTCTAGCAGTTGGTGTATGCAGCTCGACCATTGGAGACTTAGGCGTTACCGTTTACGGTAGAACTAAGAGTTAACGATACTCTTTTCATCTGAAAATATTTCCTTGATTAAGATCCCGAAGGATGAAAAAGGTTTGAAGTGTTTTTGTGTTTTTTAAAGAAGAAGTGTTTTGAATTTGTGTGTTTATAATGTATGTTGTACTAAAGTCTAGAACCTAGGATCGAATGTGCCGCATATCGTCCTTAGGACATATACTAAACACTCTAGGTAATTGAGAGGTGGCCCCTTAATCACCATTTCCCAAGTATAAGGATCATGGCACATTATTCATTATCCTTATTAAGTATGTTAAGATTGTATGAAGATGAGAAGAGAGGGAAGGACACTAATGGGAGACTAATCAAATCCTAAAAGTTGTCATGCAATGGTGATCCTAAGATTGAGATTCAAAAGGGAAACTACCTAAGGTTATCATGCATGGTTTGAACTTAAATTTTATCATAACCTCAAGAGGTTAGAAAACTTATGGGGAGCATGGAAAAGAAAAGCAAAAGAAGAAGAAGAAGAAGAAAGCACATACAAATGAAGATGCAAACATAAGATGCACAAGTAGAATGAAAGTGGGAGGAAAATAGTGTGGGGCAGTAGTATCCATAAGCTCATCTCAACCAAGCATGCATATGAGAAATGCAAAGAAGAATGGATGAGAAGAAGTGCACAAAAAGGAACTACACAAAAGGAGATATCACACAAACAATGCAAACATATCACATATGGAAACCCTAAATGGAAGCAACAAAAGGAATGCACAAACCAACAAGTAATGAACATAATTTTGACCTAAAAATGAACATACAACAAGCTCAACATGTCTAATATATGAAACAAGAGGAGTTGAGAGCTTATTGGACCCACAAAGGTCATTTCCAACTTAAACTAGGTCATACACTTGTATGAGCCACCTTAGGAAATGACTTGACTTGCAAGTCATCTCAAAATTAGGAAAAAGGCTCAAAAAATTACCAAATAAAATACAAGAGGTGCACAAACAAGTTGGCAAACAGAGGCCAAAAGGTCAAAGCAAATATCCCCTCAAAGCACTATCAAAAGAAAATAATATTCAAGATGTACCAATTTGAAATGGGAGAATCGAGGGTCAAAAGAAAAGCACCAAAAGTCAATCCTAAAGTCAACCAACCAGGGGCAAAATGGTTCTCAAAAATTGTTTAACTCATCATGGATATGAGGATCAATATTCAGTCATTGGATCCAAAAGGAAAAGCAAAAACAAAATCAAGAACAAGACATGTCAAGATTGGATTCAACTAAAACACTTCCAATGTATAATTCCATTTTTAATTGAAAATAAAATAAAAATATCCTAAAAATAAAGGACATTTCAAAGTGTATGAAATATATTTTTGTGGAATTTTTGGATCATTGAAACTATTTTTAATTGAATTAAACCTAAACAGAATTAAAACAAAAAATAAAATGAAAAAGAAAATAAAATAAATGAAGACACAGTGTGGATAGCAAAGAAAATCAGTTCAAAACCAAATTTGGCCCTAAAGTGGGGTGGGAATAGCAACAAGGGCGCCCCAAGTCCAAAACAGAAAAAACAAAAATGAAAATTTGGTGATTGTGTGTGCTATGGTCAACAAAGGACCAAGGTGGAACACGCTACAAGCCATCAGATCAAAAGGTATGCGCATCAAACGAATTAAAACGCGCCAAGTCATTTAATGAAATTCAAACATGATTTTGTATGATGAGTCAAAGTGTGTGTAGCGTGTTTCTTAATCATGTGTGTTAAAATGAAAAGTATGCAAATCAAACGATTAACAACATGCCACATAATAATCTTCATTAATAAAACCACACAAAACCAGACGGTGGCCGGAATTCAACTTCGGTCGTCTTCTTCCTCAAGACCGGCCACCATGAAAACACAGATATAGCAAAACTTAACCAAAATGAACAAACTAATAATCAAAATTCATCTACACATCACGAGGAATCCAAATATGCCATCCATTTTCACTTATCACGCATATACAAGCCAAATCGAAGGAAAATAGAAAACATGCTCAAATTGAAAAGTTCACAATCAGCCACCAAATGCACCCAAAAATCATCTACACATTACATAGAGTTTAAATCCATGGTTCATTCATCATAAAACCTCAAGAATAAGCCAAAATGCAAACAACAAGTTTCATGCTCCAAACAAAAATCATCTCAAATGCCAGTTCATTTTACTTGTTAATGATCTACATGTTTCCTAGGTCTCAAATATGCAAAAATGGCAAGCAATGGTATCATAAACAGAGAGATAAGTTAATTCCAAAATTACCTAGTGGAGAACTTCCACTGAGTCTTGTTCTTGGCTGAAACTTCAAGAAAACCACCTAGAATCACTCCACACACTTGAAAGAAGCTCTTGCTGTGCTTAATTTTGCTTGAGAATGGCTGAATATCCAAAATCGTATTTCACTTTTGCCTTGCTTTTTCAAGTTGCTATCTATGCAA